ATGTGCTGTGTTTTGATGGTGTGTTTTGAGTATATGTGCTGTGTTTTGATGGTGTGTTTAATGGTGTGTTTTGAGCGGATGTGCTGTGTTTTGCAGGTGATCAGTAATGCTCTTGGAGTTTGGGGTTTGGAGATCATTCTGTTTAACAGCAGAGAGTACCAGCAGTTACGGATCGATTCCATGTGAGTATTTCTGAGACCTTTATCTTTAGTCCTTTTATCCATTGTGTGACTGTTCATCCTCTTCATGTTTGCTTTCAGACATGAGAAGGCCTTTATATGTAACTATAAGGAGCACTGGTTTACGGTGCGTAAGCTGGGACAGCAGGTACGTGTTTTACCTGCAGAATTAGTCTGAGTCCGTTTGAAATGATGTCGAGTTTATGGCCCGTTTCTCTCTCTTCATCTAGTGGTTTAATCTGAACTCGCTGCTGACCGGACCGGAGCTCATATCAGACACATACTTGGCTCTTTTCTTAGCGCAGCTACAGCAGGAAGGTAACATTCATACATGATCATGTGTTGCATGACCTCTGATCATGGTGCCTCCACATGCATGTGGCAGTGATAATGCCCTGGAAAGTCCTCAGCTGAACGTCTCTGCAGGTTATTCCATATTTGTAATCCGGGGAAGCCTGCCGGAGTGTGAAGCCGATCAGATTTTGCGGATCATGCGAGTGGAGCAACAACAGCGGCCGAAGCTGATCGGAGAGGACGAGGCCCAGAGGTGCACTGACCGTCATCACATGACATACAGAACAAGACAAGAATCTTCACCCTCCTCTTGTGCAGTGGGTCAGTTTGACCCACATTCAGTTACCTTTACATTGATGCATTTGGCAGACTCTTTTATCCTAATTGATTCACAAAAGAGGATAAAAAATTCACAAAATATGAAATAAATGAGAACTTATTAAATTGAACACTCAAAGTTTACTTGAAATTGAAGACTCAAATGGAGAATTCGCTGTTAGAGTTTCAGTCAGAAAATCTGTGAAAGGGTGTTTTTGGTTAATAGTTCTTAGAATCTGAGTTGCAGCACTGAAAATAAGAGTGAATAAGTGTGAGATAGTGTTGTTTTTTGGCAAATTGCATGGGAATGTCAGTGTGATCCACAGCACAAACAGAGCAGCAGAACTTCAGCACAGCAGGAGGGTTGAATACTTGAGCAGTAAGCCACGGCTGTGTGTGCATTAAATGATTTCAATGCATGACACGGAGGCAGAGAAGCACGTGATGCACACAGCTGTCACTGATGGGTTTGAGTGTGTGCCGTTGATCAGGATGTCAGTGCAGCAGACGTCAGACCCCGGACACACCACAGATGAAGTGCTGCTGGATGAGGAGGAGCTGAGGAAGGCTCTGTCTCTCAGCAGACAGGGCATGGAGGTGGAGGATGAGGAGGCCGACCTGCGCAGAGCCATTCAGCTCAGCATGCAGGGTGAGAAACACAGATCTCTGCCTCGGTGACATACGTTCAGTTATGTGCATTATTTCATTAAAATTGGCAGAACAAATTGGGCAAATGCATCTAACAGCATTTATCTAAAATAGAAATCTTTTTTTGCTATCACTTCTTAACAATTTAACACATCCTCGCTGAATAAACGTTTTAATTTCTTTCAGAAAAAGAAAGAATATGAGCAGGCGCTGACAGCGGAGGAGCTGCGCAGGAGGAGACAGGCCTACTTCGACAGGTGAGCGCTGGTGAGTTTGTGATCGTCTGTGATCAGTCCTGAGTAATGATGATGGTCTGATCTCCTCACAGGCAGCAGGCTCAGTCCTCCGCTCACCACAGCAGCTCCGCCGGTAAGAGTCTGTCATCATCATCTTCCTGATTACAGACATGCTTTGTGAATCTATCTCTCTGCTCATGATGTTGTTTTGCAGGCGGAGAGAAGGACAGCGGGACCAAACCCAGCCAGTGACGGTCCATCAGCGCCGGTGACGGACGCCCTCGACCCGACCTCTCTCTGGGAATGCTGGGACTCTCACCTCCTCTCAGAACTGGCCCGGGACCGATCGGGTCCTGCTGTGTAATAAAGGGACATTCGTTTAGCTTCGCTTCTCCTCTTTGAGTTGGACGAGGTGAAAGGGAAGCGTTTCTCCGGATCATTCCTCTTCCTCAGACGGACACACGAGCGAGACGAGACCGCGGCGTGAGGAGGGAGCTGTCAGCGCTGGGATCACTCCTGCATTCTGGGACCGTTGGGCTTTACTGGCGTTACTGGATCTCTCTGCTCTTCTCCTCTGTGGACTGTAGTGAAGACCTTCTGCTGGTCACCAGTGATTCACTCTCACGCGCCCTAGTTAGACAGCACAGTGTGCGTGAGGAGATCAGTCATCGTTCAGATTCAGACCTTCACTTGTTTTAGTCGTTCATCAGTCGTTCCTCATTTGTTGGCAGGCAGCAGCTCTTTTGGATCTAGGTTGTGATTTCTCATGGTTTTCTATGATTTCATGCGTTTGGTGGCACAGCAGCGTTTCTGAACTCGTTTCACATTCAGCAGTAGTTTTTAAGTGATTGGTTGTTCTCGCACTCCTATATACACTTATTGTTTCTTAAATAAAAACCTTTCTTTTTCCCCTGAGTGGATGTTCTTTGTTTCTTCTCTTGATTCTGTGAGCCTCTTGAAGACGTCAGATGTTCCTTCAGCGTTTAGTGCTGGAGTTTCATTCCCGATGGAAAGAAGAGCGAGTCTGTCAGTGAATACTGTGTACAAACTACTGTAAATACGATGGAGTGATGCACTGTGTCAAAGTTATACTCCGAGCATCCAGTCAAAAAAGTGAAACGTTCCCACATTTAATCATATCGAATTGAAAGAATCGCACAACGGAGGAGATTATTTTCAGTGAAACATCTGATGCACAGACTTCATCAAGCAGACAAATGAAGATCATCTTCAGCTGTGATCATGATTCAGATGCTTCACTTGAGGACAAAGACTGACGGCACAGCACACAAACAAATGACAAAATGATCATTCAGTCCGTCATCATTTACTCTCCTCGTGTCGTCTGAAACCTCCTGCCTTCTGCGGAATATAAAAGCAGCGTTTCTGTCCATACAGTGAAAGTCAGTGGTTGTTTTGGATGACATTGACGCTCACTCTGTGGGCTAAACTTTACTGTTCCACAGAAGAAAGAGATGCATACAGGTTTGCAGGGCGAGTAAATGATGACCGAATCATTTTTGGGTGAACTATCCTATTAGCAAAATGTGTAGATATGAATATCTGTTAAAGTCTGAAAGAAATTGCAGCATGTTTCATACAATCATTTTTAAAGGAATAGTTCACCAAAAAATTAACTAAAACTTGCTGAAAATGCTCTCCAGTGGATGCTCTGCAGTGAATGGGTGCCGTCAGAATGAGAGTCCAAACAGCTGATAAAAACATCACAATAATCCACAGCACTCCAGTCCATCAGTTAACATCTGGAGAAGACAAAAGCTGAAACTAATCCAGCATTAAGACGCTTTTAACTTCAAACCTGATCCATTGGTGAGCAAGTGATGCAATGCTACATTTCTACAAATCTGTTCCCACGAAGAAACAAACTCATCCTAAAATCTTGGCTGAAATGAGGATGAGTACTCTTACCATTACTTCAATAAAGATGTCATAAAACTGAAACCCAAACAAGTGTGAATAACCTGGTGATCTGCCATCACTGATCTGTTCCAGACGGGACAGGATTGTTTGTTTGTTAATAGATAATCTCTAAAGTACACTGAACTTCGTCTCTGCAAACAGTCAGAACACAACAGAGGATAAAGATCCTCGGCAGCCTGTCAGTGAGTATGCATGTTACTTTATGCGTGTGTTTATAGTTAATATTTTCAGATGTTAGGGCTGGTTTTATTGTTCAGTGTTTTGCCACCAAGTTTGTTGATTTTAGTACTTATGGATTTTCTTCAGTAAAGAACAGAGGGAAGAATGATGAATCGCGGGTCCTTGTGTGTCTAATATGAAGCAACATGTCTCTAAATAATGAAAACTCAATATAAGTTGTTTTTTGTATCTTCAGGTCAAAGGATTTTTAATAAACGATTACGAAATGGAGTTAAGAGTGCTGTTCTCCCTCATTTATTCCTCTGGTTTTCTGTGCGTCCTTAAAAGTCAAGAGCCCAAAACTCCTGACGTCACGGATCTGGCCTTCAAAAATATTGACTTTGCCATGAACCTCTATCGCAAGATATCAAGTTATCATGACAAAAACATCTTCTTCTCGCCGCTGAGTGTTTCCACGTCTTTCGCCACGCTCTTACTGGCCTCCAAGGGCTCGACACGCAGTCAGATGGCGAAGGGCCTGAATCTGGACTCTCTGGACGGGACTGGAGACGCGACGCTCATCCCACAGCTCTTTGAGCAGCTGCAGAAGAACATCTCGCAGGACGGAAAACTGCACATGGAGCAGGGCACGGCACTCTTCGTAGACGAGCGCTTTAACGTCGAGAGAGTCTTCAGCGATCAGATCAAGACGTTCTTCGGTGCCGATGTGAACAATGTGGATTTCAGTGAGACAGAGCTCAGCAAGAGCACCATCAACGAGTATGTGAGCAGAAAGACCGGCGGCAAAGTGAACGAAATGGTGACGAGCGTCGAGCCGCTGACGCAGATGATGCTCCTCAACACCATTTTCTTTCAGGGTGAGTTTCTGTGCCTGTGGAGACAGAGCAATGATGTGCACTACACAACTGGGATTTGATGTAAAGCTCTTTGTTCTCAAGGTGACTGGGATAGTCCGTTCGACCCCAACAGCACAGAAATGAGTCGCTTCTATGTGGACAAGTACAACATCGTTCAAGTCCCCATGATGGTGAAGGAGGACAGATTCTCCACGGCTGAGGACCGAGAGCTGCGCGCTCGAGTGCTGCGTCTGTCGTACCGCGGCGGAGCGGCGCTGCTCATCGTCCTGCCCGACGCCACGGCCGACTACACCGTCATCGACGACGAGATCAGCGCCGAGCGATTCCACCGCTGGATCAAAAACATGAGACGCACGTGAGCCCAGGGGCCTACATTTCATCTAACAGTTGGGGGGGACAATAAGCATAAAATTTCTCAAGAGCAGTTTTTGAAGGGGACACAAATAATACAGCTAAAATTGTACTTGTAAGGATAAGTATACAAAGAGGAAAGCCTTACTACTGTTAGTGCAGCGGGGAGACTGTGCCAGATTAATGAGTTCAAGCTGTTGGTGTCGCGCTGAGACAGCGCTCGAGTCCGTAGACATTACGATCCGTCAGGCAGGTAACGTTATTATTGCTAACATCGGAAAATACATTGACATCATCTGTATTAAAGAGAAAATAATCACTTCATCCGATGTTTAAGTGAAGAAAATAGCCTTGACAGCCGTACTTACTGGACTTTTTCTCACTCACAGGACTTTCGCAAAAAAAACGTACAATTGCTAATCAGAACTAGCCTAATCACGTTTCGAGGGGGTTCCCCTGTAAAAAATGCATTCCAGGGAGTAAAATAGTTTTTCGGCAGGGTTCCACCGGTAAAATTCGCATTCATATCAGTTATTGGGGTGGCTTCCAAGCACTCATGGGGGGGTGGGGTCGTGCTTGTCATGTGACACACAGCAGCCACGATAGCACTGTATAACTGATAGGCTTATGTTTTATTTATTTATTTTTTCTAAATATCTCCAAACGTGTTAACTAGCCTATATCTGGAAATATCTAGATTCTCAAATATGTGTAAGTAAATGCGTTTTGTACCTTCATAGATTATTTGATCAATGGTGATGGGCAAAGTAGACTAAAGCCCTATTCGCACGGGATTTGTATTATCTGGGGACTTTGTGTGATTTTGAAATTACAATACATACACAAACCAGATTATCCCACTTAATTTTAATTTACACATAATATAAAATAATCAAAATAAATCTCACATTTTTCCCCCCTTAGCAAAAGAAATGTCCTCATTTCAAATATACCAAGAACGAATAAATCACACATTTTGAAATGTCACAGTTAACATAAGAGATATAACATGCCACAACACAATATCAAACAGTTAAACCTCCTTACCATCACAGATTTTTGGGCAGACGAGAAAATAAATTACATGTGAAAATGCAAGTGTTCTTACATTGTAAAACAGTAAACTGCAAAACAATAACAAAAGTACAATTTATTCCCAATTTTTTTTTCTTTAACAAGAAAACTTCCTAGGCCTGTTAATAACACGCCCTGAACGAGTAACCAAACATTTTGACGCATGTTCCCCCCCTACTAGGAGGTAGGTTCAACCAATTGAGGTGACTTAACCCTAACCCTAACAGCATGAGGAACTTGCGCTATGTGACCTGAAGACCTACGTACATGAGGAACAGAAGAGAATACATAAGCCTCATTTTCACCAACCCACAGCCCTCCTGATGACAAAGGGAGAGACCCAGATAAAGCTGTATAGTGGTCTCAACTCCTGAACCCTTTTGTCCTTATCTTGACCAGCACATGTGGAAGTAAGTGCTGGTTCTGTCCACTTGGATCTGTAGGGCTTCAAATGTTCATAGTGAACTACCTTAGGTTCTGCCTTTACATTTCTCACATTCAACACTGTGTAAATAATACCAGCCATGTCCACTGTAACCACCCGATATGGTCCTGTCCATTTTGGCACAAGTTTCTTCCTCTGTGTGGTTGGATCATTCATCCACACCAGGTCACCCACTTTAAAAAGTCTGAATTTCTCATACCTATTAAAGTAGAACTCACACTTAAGTCTCTGATCTGCACTAGTGTTAAGCACTTCTCGAAACACAGTTTCCATACGATTGACTAGAGCTGAACCATAAGTCTGCGAAGTGTCCACGGCTCCATCTGATGGAGAATCAAGGTACATGTGTGCCGGTAAACGAGGTTCACGACCATGGGCCAAGAAGAATGGTGAGTACCCAGTGCTAGAATGAGGTGTAGCATTAAATGAAAGTACAACTGCAGATAAGTACTGGTCCCATTCACCACCACTATGAAAAAGAACCTTCGCTAACGGATCCTTCAATGTTCTATTGAACCGTTCTACCATTCCGTTACCACGAGGGGGATAAGGTGTAGTTCTCTTTTTACTGATGTTTAATCTCTTACAGATGTCCTGAAAAATCTCTGACTCATACTGACGTCCCTGATCAGAGAACAATTCCTCTGGAACACCATGTTCAGGTATGTACTGGTCACACAACAACCGTGCCACTGTGCTGGCTATTTGGTCCACCATAGGATATGCATTGATGGATTTAGTAAAGTGATCTTGCACCACCAACACATCTCACAAACTCAGACGAACCATCATCGATTTATATTCGGTCAGACAAATTTGTGACTCCACCTTAGGCTGACTTTCTGTACCATTGTTCACCAACAAAAACAGCAGTCTGAGAAGTGAGAGGCAAATCATCTGTTTGAATGGATACTGTCTGTGTGCGAGGTGTCGGAGTTGTAGATGAATCTACAGGAATACGAGACATGGCATCCGCATTAGTATGTCTCTTGCCATCTTTGTGGATGATCACCCATTCATATGGATCAAGCTCCATAGCCCACCGACCTCTACGTCCCGTGGGATCAATATCAAAGTTCAATTTTCTCAGGCCAACAAGAGGTTTGTGATCGGTGACTATTGTAAAGGGACAGTTACTCAAGTAGTGATGAAAATGTCTGAATGACCAAACTATTGCCCACAGTCCTTTGTCATAAGTGGACCATTTTCGTTCAGTCGAGGTAAGTACGTGACTAGCGTATGCAACAACTTGCTCTTTGCCATCTTGAATTTGAGACAGGACAGCACCAATAGCTGTATTAGACGCATCTGTACTCAATGTAAACGGCTGATCAAAATGAGGGAATGCCATGACAGATGGAGACGTCAGAGCGTTTTTAAGTTGCTGAAAGGCTACTGAACACTCATCGGTCCATTCAAAACGCACATCTTTGTGGGTTAGTTTGTGTAGAGGTTGAGCCTTAAAGGCATAGTCTCGAACGAAACGCCTATAATAGCTACACAAGCCCAAAAATGCTCGCACCTCAGTAGCTGATTTTGGAGTTGGCCAATATCTTACTTTCTCGCTTTGAGCTGGATCAAGAGACAGCCCATCCTTTGAGACAGACGCCT